GATCCCACATTTCTCCCTTTATTATTATTATTATTTTTATTTTTAATAAAATGCTGAAGTGGTAGGTAGATGCAAGATAAAGGTAGAAAACATAGTTTAGTGTTGTAGGAGAGCAATTGTAGATGATCAGGTGTGTGCCTGTAGACTATGTGTTAATCCAAGCTAGACAAGGGCAATAAACCATCCACGGATGCAGAAGATTTCTCTCAAAGCAGGGGGGATGAGGTTCTGAGCCATGCAAGACCCTTTTAACCTGGCCTTCACCTCAGCTCCCACTACTTCCCAGCACACGATCAAGAGCCCAGGGCCCACCCAGGTCATAACCACTCCATATACATGGATTACCCTACCCTTCTTTAGAAGGGATGCTCTTCATGGTAGTTTATTGTCTTTTTGAATGAACCCCTTGAAGCCAAGAACTGGATTTTATCACCTTTATATGACATTACAGGGCCTAGGCGAGTGCCTTATACATAGTAATATCTCATTTAAAATGTTTCTGGAATAATTATGTAGATAAGTCTTATTCAGCAGGAGAAAACTTTATATGGAGTGGAATTACAGAGTATTTAGTAACAGGGGGACACCGGCAGAGAGGAAGTTATAATCCTTTTAGTCACTACATGAATATTCAACACTTACTGTTACATGCCAGATATCATACTTGGTCTTGAGGGTACAAAGACTCCAAGAAAGAACCCCTACCCTTATAGGTACAGGTACAATGAAAGGTGACATTGCTATAGTAGTGATACAGGTGCTTTGAGAAAACACAAAGGAAATGGGTCAGGGAAGACTTCCAGGAGGAGGCAAAGCCTATGCTGAGCTTGGAGGGAGGAATTAGAATGCCAGCTGCAGGTGAGTGGAAATGAAGGCTGGACCACAGCATGAAAGTGAGAAGAAGACACAGTACATGACTGTGGAAGTTCACAGTAGTTTGAGCACGTAATGTGTGTGTAGAGGATGAGAGAGAGAAGTAAGCAAGCAGGGGTCTTAGATGACTGCTCATGAATTCTCTGAAGGCATGATAAAGACGGAGGCTTGGGATTTACCATCGAGTGGTTAAAGGAGTGAGGTCTGGAGCCAGAGGAGCTGAGTTAAAATCCTAGGTCTGCTGTTTTCTAGCTGGATGACTTTGGGCTAGTTACCCAAAGAATGGGTCTTGGTTTTTTCATCTATAAAATGGAAATCGTAATTCCTGTCCCTTAGCATTGTGATGTCTAAATGAGTTGGAATACTATGTGGTATACAGGAAAGCTCAATTTTCTTTTCTTTTTAGCTACTATACTGCTCTAAAGTTCTAATATAAAATGAAAAGAAAGGAATAGGATGGTATTTCCTCAGCTCCATTTATATTGGGAAAAACACGGGATCTAAGATTCAACAATTTCCTTTGCCTGGGTTCTAGACCCACAGTACCTGTATTCAGAGTTTAGTGAGGTATCTTGGGATAAGTTAACTCCCTGTGCCTCAGTTTCCTCCTGTAAAACAGGGATAATAATAGCTGCTTCACTGGGTTGTTGTGAGGATTAGAGGAGTTAATGCATGGAAAACACTCAGAACCACCCATCAGACATCGTTGTAATAAGAATAAATACTCATATAGTAATTACTATGTGCCAGGCACTATTTTAAATGTTTTTCTCTTAACAATAATTATTATTCTTTATATGCATTAAGCTAGCAACTAGAGGTAAGGATTCCAAAACCGTTTCCCTCAATCTCTGTAAAAAGAGGACAGTAATTTCTGCCTTTAGTTACTTATGTGACATGTAGACTAATCAAGGTAAAAATTACTTTATGCCCTTGGGGAGAGAGGTGTCTTATAGAGTGGGTGGTAGTTTGTCATTACCCCCAAAGTCATTCTGGAAGCCCAGCCCATGTCCAATGCTGCAGGGGAGTTCATTTACCTTCTGGAGCAGGGATATTTTCTGAATTTTCTCCACCCTGCTCGGCTTGGTTGGCAACTACGCTTCCACTCTTTGTCCTTCGAAGAACACTCAAAGCTCGATTAATTTTTTTAAAAGATCTGCTTCTGATTGTGGATCGCTCAAAGGGCCGTGCTGAGGGAAAGAGAGAAGGGAGGAAGAGTAGCTGGACATTCATAGAAATCCTTTTATATACATGTCTGGTAAGAAATATACAATAAAACATGAACAGTGACTACTTCTAGGTGGTAGGATGATACAATTTCTGTAATCTCTATTTTCTCATTTTTCTACAATGACCTATCTATGGCTTGTTTAAACATCTGCTTTTCCTTTTTCCTGGGCTGAAATGAACAGAGTAGCACTTTTCTTGAGAAACATGAACAGTGACTACTTCTAGGTGGTAGGATGATACAATTTCTGTAATCTCTATTTTCTCATTTTTCTACAATGACCTATCTATGGCTTGTTTAAACATCTGCTTTTCCTTTTTCCTGGGCTGAAATGAACAGAGTAGCACTTTTCTTGAGCAGCATAGATGGGAAGGTACAGATGCCACAGGAGTGATGAATCGTTAGGTCTAACTTCAATGCCTTTCACCAAGTCAGATTACACACATTTTTAATGATCTGAGGTACTCCTGGTTTCATTTCACTTTGGAGAATTGGACATTGGACTGCTGCTAAAACTACCAGAATAATTTCCCCTTAAAAAAACATTTCTAGAACTTTCCACAGCAAATATTCCACAGAGGGCAATTCCAAGGCAAGGAGCCCATTCCCAGAGAACTACCCCCTTGACTCACCCCTAGTTCGGTTGCTCTGGCCAGAGTCCAGTGCGCTGTTTGCTGGCTGACCATCCTCGGCTGTGGACACATAGGCAGGGTTGTCTAGGCCAGGCTCACCAGTCATCAGGGAGGAGGTGGCAGCTGCGGAAACCTCTGGCGAGAGTGCTGTGGCCATGAGGCTCGTGCAGCCATCGGGACAGCCATCCTGGGAGCACCTCTTCCTGTCCTTGGTCAGGCCGTAGTGAGAGGCACCTTTACAGCTGCAACGACACCAGGGGGAGGTCAGAAAGGCTTCAGCTTTGCTCGTGGTTCCCCCAGGCCTCTGCAAGTGCACATGCTTGCCGTGTTCAGGACTTGATTTGCCCACCCTTCTATCGCCTCTTTTCACATGTAGGTATTCAATACACACTCACCAGCCAAAGGAATGAATGACGTGAGAAAACGGTTTTTAAAAGAATCTTATTTTCATTCTCTTCAAGCATTCTCTACACTGGCCCTGGAATGCAAATTTATGAGTTGTTATGGTATCTACAAGACTCAGGCTTGAGATTAGGGGTGTTCAGTTATTTGGACTTGGTGGTTCCTTCTTGCTGGCACTCATTTTGATCACAAAAGCCCGTGGTTACCCTCAGCCCTTTTTTTTTGGTTTAGTTCCCAAATCACTGAACATAAATACTAAGCTCTTCCCAGTTCCATTTTTAACTGTCCATGGAAGCAGTACTGCTATCACCACAAAGCCACAGGAGTTTACTTAGCATCACTGTTCTCTGGAGGCAGCTTGCTGGCTTCAATTCTCTGCCCCTGGGCTGGTCTCAGAGTGACCAGGACCAGGGTCTGAGGTATCCCACGCACTGAAAAATTTCACTTATTGTCATGTCTTCTAACATTAGGAAAGTAAAACATTTGAGTCTTAAACCCATAATTGTCTAGACCCATTCACCATCCATGTTAAAGAGCAGCCCTGTGGCCAAGAGAACAAAATTTGAGTTGCTTCAGGTCCATATTTTGTCATGAATGTACTTCCAGTTATCACTGGGCAAGTTGTTCCTGTTCTCAGGGAGGGCTTTGGCCAGAAAATGGTGATGATTTAACTGTCTCACTGTCTCATGTGTGAGGAAGTAGCTGCAGATAGCCACACAAGCTTCCACAGTGGCTGTAAAAGCAGAAATCATACAGGCGAGCCCCTTTAAGAAGAGACCTTTTTCATATAATGGATGTATTACACATTTTTAACAGTTTGTTGCAGAAAATCTTATATATTTGAACCATATTAAATAACTCTTTGAGAGCCTGTTTGGAGTTCTTGAATGCTTTATGTTCTTGAATGTAAGCAGATCAAACATCAGTTTATCGTTGATATGCACACATGATGTATATGGCCTGTAGAGCTAGAGAGCCTGCAGATAGCAGGGCCTATTGTTGGATTAGAATCCTCACTCTGAAACAGACCTAGCTGTGTGATCTGGGGCAATTTTGCTAACCTGGTTAAACTTCTTAATCTGCACATACATCACGGGTTGCTGGTACCTGGCCAGATGTATAATGAGTTCTCAATAGATAGCAGCTACTTCCATAATTCATCTGCCTTAAGATGCTTGTTTTTCACACTTTGCCATCTCTGAAATTAGGATGCATAGGTGACTGATGGGGTCACAGAGCTTCTGTTGCCAAGTGGCAGCCATGGCGCAGACATCATTATCTAAACATGGCAGTCATGGCCACAGGGGTCCATTTGTTGTTTCCACTGACTGTGTCCACTCTTAGTACTACACCATTGCATTGAACTGCCATTAAATGTCTCAGCAAGGATCACATTATGGCTCAGTATTGACATGTGAAGTTATTGTATATATAGGAAGTCTCAAAAACAGAGCAGTGGCATGTGAATTTGATATTGATGAAGCAAATATTCACTGTTAGAAAGAAGGCAGCAATTCTATATTTTCTTGCAAAGAAACAAGCAAATGCTTTATTTACTTAGAAAGAAAGATACCCCTAAGGAGATGAAAAGTGGTGCCACATTTTGTTTCCTAGGTCATTCAAAAGGATTGGCCTGTTTTATGCCAAACAATACAACTAGAGGGTAGGAGAGGGCACGATATTTATCCGAATGAATTCAAAGCCACAAGAGTGATGTGGCCAGTGCATGCTTTCACAGGGATACCTTTAAAGGTGTTTAGGAATAATTTTGAGCAGTGGCCGTTCTTAAAATTTTCTTTTCTTCTTGGTACATGTATTTCTTATAATTGATGGCATCTTCCATTGAAAGTGGAAATATGATTTTAATAATAGCAGAAAAGGACTTTGATCATACAACCTTACACTCTTATCTTATAGAAGATGAAACAGGCCCTCCAGTTTCTAATTCTAGTCTTTCCCTCACTGAAAGTACTCACGTTTCCTGCTTGAACTGGTGAGGTTTTACTGTTCTGATTAGCTACTTTGGCTTGGAATTGTTCTGCTTAAAAATAGCAAAGTGGTTGATAGGGGAAACTGAAAAATTGGAAGAAACACTGTGTGATGGAAAAAAAAAAAGCCAGTATGCATTTGAGCAGCTCCAGAGTCATAAATACATGAGTGGAACACTTCTGTGCAAGCCAGCAGTATTTGGTTAGCAATCCATGGGAAGGAAGTTCCTACACTATTTAGTTGGACTGGAAACAGTCTTTTCTTGGGGCAGTGATGCCCTTGACCATGTGTCCTGCCAGAGCAGGAAATGAATTTTCCAACTGGACAAATGACTGGCAAAGGCACAAGCCATGGCTTCCTGGGAGGGACATAGCATACCCTCGTGGAAAAAGGTGGCATCTTATTTTGCTGCCTCATCTGTGAGAAGGGTTAAGGTACTTAAAAACATCTGAATCCCAAGGCTATACCAGTAAGAAACTATTGCTGTTTCAAATCCTTGGGGTTGCAAAGCACATTTTTCGAGTCTAGGAAAGGAAATCATCATAAAATGGGCAAGTAGCCTTCCCTTTGGCCTCATATCACAGCTATCCTTACATCAACTGGGGAGGGTACATAATCTAGATTTAAACATCCAGACTCAGAAACCTTGTGTAAAAAAAAAGGTTGTGCTAAAGCATGTGTAATGTTGCTGTTCCACTTTTTGGCTTAGCTTGGAGTTGAGGCCCAGAGTGATCTATGAAGGTAGCAGCTTGTACTGACTAATTATCTCTTTTGTGGTGACTAATACTGGGGCCTCTTGATTTATAAGCACAAAAGAGGGGAGGAAAGGGGAAGAGGGGATTAGCATTGGCCAGTACAGGAACATACAATTGAACCCTGGGTTGCGTGCTAGGCAAGCAGGATTTATTCTTCCTTTCAGTTATCCCGAGCACTAAGTACTCTCAGGTGGTGACGGGCAATGGCTACGAACTTGATGGATGAACACGAGGAACAGGGAAGACCATTTTTCAATCAAACCATGCACTTTTGATATGCCATTTGTACAACAAAGCATATGAAAAATCAGGGATTTTTTTTTTCTTTTAATAATGAGTTGAGATCTTGAGTACTTATACCAAAGTTAGCAGAGACAAATCAATCTTAATGTAAGAATACTGACACTAGGTGTGCCATGGAATTTCTGTCATTTTGCATGGTGGGGGCCACAAGAAGAGAAAGTGAACTCCTTGCAAAAATTCCTGAGGCCTTGAGTTCACTGCTAATGGCAGTTGACCTGAAGCAGAATGGAGCTGCCTCATTGACAGAGGCTCTGATGGAGTGTTCTGTGCTGAGTTCAACCGACTGGGTAGTATGAGCCAATTTGCAGCGGAGGCCTCACTTTTGGTGAACTTTTGATAGAAGAATAAAAGTTGTCCATGAGAAAGCAAGCCTTAATACCCACATTAGAACAGTCTGGCTAACCACACAGCCTCCCTTTGATCTAACTTCCCTCACATTCTTTCTCTCTTGGTTCACTTCTGAACTAGGTAAACACTGAGTCTCCTCCTCACACTGAGTTTATTAATTGCCTAGTCTGATCCTACTTTAACCAAAGGCTTGCAAACTCATATGCTTGTCAGGTGAGGAAATGAGGGAGGTCAGGCTGGATGGGGACTGTGGTGAGCAGAGCTTTTTAATTTCAAGGGTGCAACAACCATTACAGACCTTTGCTGATCATTGCCTCAAGAAGACTAGCCCAACAGCAGTTAAGCAAGAAAAAGAAATAAAAGGCATCCAAATTGGAAAGGAAGAAGCCAAATTGACACTATTTGCAGATGGCATGATATTACATACAGAAAACTCTGAAGACTCTGCCAAAAAAACTATTAAAATCAATCAATGAATGCAATAAAATTGCAGGATAAAAAATGAGTATACAAAAATCTTTTGAATTTCTGTACACTAATAATGAACTATCAAAAAGAGAAATTAAAATAACCACATTTGGAATTGCATCAAAAAGAAAGTACCTTGGAATAAATTTAACAAAAGAGATGAAAGAACTGTATTCTGAAAATTATAAGACATTGATGACAGAAACTGAACCCAACACAAATAAATGGAAAGATATCCATGCTCACAGATTAGAAGAATGCTGTTAAAATGTCCATACCACCCAAAGCCATTTACAGATTCTTTGCAATCCATATCAAAATTCCAATGGCATCTTTCACAGTAACAGGAGAAACAATACTAAAATTTGTATGGACCCACAAGAGACCTCAAATAGCCAAAGCAATATTGAGAACAAAGAACAAAGCTGGAGGCATCAAACTTCCTGATTTCAACATATTACAAAGCCATAGTAGTCAAAACAGCATGTTATTGGCATAAAAATGGGCACATGGACCAATGGAACAGAATAGAGTCCAGAAATAAACTCATGCATATATGGCCAATTAATTTATGACAAAGGAGCCAAGGATATACAATGGGAAAAGGACAGTGTCTTCAGTAAAGGGTGCTGGGAAAACTGAACAGCCACACACAAAGAATGAAACTGAACCACTCTCTTACAACATACACAAAAATTAACTCAAAATGAATGAAGGAGTTGAATGTAAAACCTGGAACTATAAAACTCCTAGAAGAAATTATAGACAGCAAGTTCCTTGGCAGTCATGGCAATGAATTTTTGGATCTGATACTAGAAGCAAAGGCAACAAAAGGAAAAGGAAACAAGCAGGATGACATCAAACTAAAAAACTTAAGCACAACAAAGGAAACCATCCACAAAATGAAGCAGCCTACTGAATGGGAGAAAATATTTGTAAAGAATATATCTGATAAGGGATTAATAACCAATTTATAT